TGCCTCGGCGGCCGGGAGGCCCCCTCTCCCCTGCCTCCCCCCGCCTGCCCTTCTGGCCCCGCAGCCGCTCGGACACCGGCAGGAACGAGTCCGAGCTGCCGTCGTAGGCACCCGTGAGCTCCTTCAGGGATGAAACCTGGGCGAGAGGAAAGAACCACGGGTCAGGGGTCGGTGGCACACAGCCACAGCAGCACCCCACAGCCCTGCCGACCAGTCCTGGGTCACTTGGGCCCCCCATCACCTCCCATCTCCCCCCTCTTGCTGCCCTGTGTCAGAAACAGCCCCCAGGCCGACAACTCTGTACCTTGATGCCAAGCGCTTCCAGGCTACGTTCAATGTTCTGCAATAAAAAGACATTAAAAACAAAGTGGGTGTCGCCCTGCTCCCAGTGTGGAGACTGTGGAGGGTCCTCCTGATGTCCCAGCCCGGTAGACTGGGAGAAACTCACCCCTGCAGTCCCAGGGTCTCCACGTGCTCCAGGATTGCCAGGTCGCCCCTAGGTTTGCAGAGAAAGAGAGAGTGAAAAGATGCAGAGTGCAGCAGTAGGTGAGCTGAGCAGCGCTGGTGCTGCCCTCCGTAGGTTTCAGAGTTAACACTACTGGTGCTCCCTGGACAGTGGCTGCTGCTGCCACCACCCCAGCTGGCAGCTAGTCAGGCTCCGTGCTGGGTACTCACCGGCTCCCCTCGCAGTCCAGGCTCCCCTGGGTCCCCCTGAAACACGGCAAAGCATCAAAGGGGGCAGAGCCAGGCTGCCTGGTGCCAACTCCAACACCAGGGAGCAGCCCTGCCAGCCTGGGGACAGAGAGTCCCCCCAAAGACTCATTTCCTCTTGGCACAGGGTCTCCCAGACCATTGCCTTGAGGGGGCTTGGGGGCAGGAGAACACCTACCTTTGGTCCAGCCACCCCACGGACACCCGGTAAACCCTGGAAGGTGCAGAGGGGACACAATGGCACTTGTGACCCATGGACATGGGACAGTGCTCCGAGGGAGCTGTGGGCAGGGGTTCTGCCCTCCCCTCAGCAGCCCAGACTCCTGGGTCTAGTGCTGGGTGGCACCATGGTCTCGAGGACTACTCACCTGTCCAGGGGGGCCAACCTGCCCTGGGACACCGGGGAGACCAGGAGGGCCGAGGGGGCCGGGCACTCCTCTGTCCCCCTGCTCACCCTTGGGACCACTGCGGCCCTGCCAAGAGAGCAGTGTCACCCCCAGCACCTGGGTGCACAGGTCTGGCCCTGGAGGGGGCATGTACCCAGCACCCCCCTTTCACCACACACCTCTCTGCCGGGGGGTCCTGTGTCACCTTTGTCTCCCTAACCAGGAGGAAAAGGAATTAGAGGGATATTACTCCATCCACACACCCCAAAATGACGCTCCAGGACCCAGGCAGGGAGGAGTCATTGGATGTGTGGGGACCAGGTGGGGATCATGTGGGGACCATGCAGGGACCCTGCAGGGCTCAGCTCCTTACCTTTCTCCCATCCTCTCCTGGTGTCCCATCTTCTCCCTGGGGACACAGGCTGCCAGTCAGTGCCCAACTCGACCACCCCACCACAGGCACCACATGGGATGGGGACAGGCACCAGGGGCACAGGTCAGAGCATGGCGGCTCTTTTCCATATCCCCCCCCCTTGCCTTTGTGTTGCGCTGGGACCACCAGCCCCCAGGGCCCCTGGAGAAGCCCCAGAGCCAAGCCCCACTCCCCCTACTCACATCCTTGCCGCTGAGGCCAGGTTTGCCATCATTGCCAGGTTTGCCCTGGGAAGAAGCAGAGGCAGTGACAGATTCCCTTGGTGCTCCACCCAGCACAGAAACCCCCAGTGGTCCCCAGGCCACGGTACAGGGGAGGGGGAGCTGTGCACTGGGTGAGCCCCAGCAGACTGACCCGGCTGGGACCAGCTGCAGAGGACACAGGGCAGGATGTGTCCCCAGGACACAGGGTAGCTGGTACTTACAGGGATGCCAGGTGGTCCCAGGGGGCCCACAGGGCCCGGCAGTCCCTGCTCCCCACGTAGCCCAGGAATGGCCTGTGGGGAAAAGAGATGGTGGGAGCACAGGGCAGCAGGGCACCCATCCAATTCTGGGAGAAGGGAGTGAGACAGGAAGGGTGGCACCCTGCTGGGGACAGGACATGGTCCTGCCCTGGGCCAAGAAGCACAGGGCAGGATGTCAATCCCTTGCACGCACAGTGGCCCCAGCAGGAGCACAACCCAAACCTGCCCTCTCCAGAGGTACTTACATCCCGGCCAGGGTCCCCCTGCTTCCCTGGGTCCCCCTGCAGACAAGGAAAAGGTGAGGGCAGGGACACTCCCACCCTCAGGGACTCCCTAACCACAGGCCCCCCCATGAGCATCCCTCGCCTGGAGCAGAGGGTGTCCAGGGGAGCAGCTCCCCCTGCTCCATTGCCCTTCTGTCCCACAGCCCCCACACACAGTGCCTGGGGGCAGCTGTGCCCTCCTCCCTGGACCCTGCTCACCCGCAGCCCTGAAGGACCCGGGGGCCCAGGTTTGCCTTCCAGCCCGTTGCGTCCATCCAGCCCTGGTGGGCCACGGTCCCCCTGTAAGGAAGAAGGGCAGGAGGGCTGGAGCCATGGGGCTGGCAGGGGGGCTGTGGGACAGCCCCCAGCCCGCAGCCCCCTCACCTTCTCTCCTGGCAGGCCTCGGTCCCCGGGGTCACCCTGCAGGGTGGGAAGAGGAGTGAGTCTTGTGTCCCCTGAACGGGAGCCAAGCAGGGCAGGGACCCCTCACTCAGACCCCCGTGGGGAATGTGACACTCACCCGTGCACCGGGGGGGCCACGAGGACCCTCCACACCCTGCAAGAGAGAGACACGCTCAGAGTGAGCCATGGGGGGAAAAGAGGATTGCTTGCCCACTGCCCTCCCCGGCAGCAGGACCTCCAGCTCTGCTGCAGAACGTGGCCCATCTTGCTGTCCCACCACCTTCCACACCAGAGACCCAGCACCTACCCTCTCTCCGGGCAGGCCAGGGGAGCCAGCATCACCCCGGCTGCCCTTCATGCCGTCCTCACCAGGGTCCCCAGGGTCCCCCTGCCAGGGAAGGGCACTGTGGTTAGTGGGCACTGCCACAAACCCTGCGCTGAGCCCACGCCAGAGCCCACGCTGAGACCTCTACTTATGATGCGTAGTTTAAGGGCAGGGTAAGAGCAAGTCTCAAAATACAGGCACAAGTTTTAAAAAGAGGTTGCTGGGCTCCACGCAGCTCCCAGGTGGCCAGACAGTTATTAGGAACATACTTATCAGGAAGAAATTCTTTCCTGTGAGTGTACTGAGATGCTGGAACAGGTTGCCCAGATAAGCTGCAGATGCCCCCTCCCTGGAGGTGTTCAAGGCCAGGTTGGATGGGGCTTTAACAACCTGGTCTAGTGGGAGGTGTCCCTGCTTGTGCAGGGGGGTTGGAACTAGGTGATTTTTACAGTCCCTTCCAACCCAAACCAGTCTGTGATTCTATGACAGCAGCTGCAGACGAAAGGCAACGAGAAGCACTGGGAGCTGGCTGGGCCATGGCCAGTGACCATGATGCCACCCAGCACAGAGCACAGCCCGTGGCAAAAACTGCCCCCAGCCTGAGCTGGCTCTTAAAAGCAGAACACCTAGAGCTGAGGTACTGCTGTGGGATCCCTGCAGGGCAGGGGAGCCAGGAGCACGCTGGCTTCTTCGAGGACCTTATCCTCACAGAGACCTCCTACCACTGGGCAGGACCATCAGCACGTGTCTCCCAGACCCCATGTCCCCACCAAGTCCCACATGGCTGTCACACGGTGCACATCAGCTTCATGTGGCAGGGGTTGTTTTGGGCAGGGAGGGCCCCAGTGCAGAGGCAGAACCCAGCAGAGGACAGCACAGGTCAACCCCACCACCAGCATACTGGGGACCCACTTGTTACCTTCTCACCCTTCTCCCCGGCTCCTCCAAGCCCCATTTCAACCTGTGGGGCAGAGAGGGGCTGTCAGAGCACACGGGGCTGGGCACCAGCCCGTGGCAGGGGGAGGGGAGGGGGAAGAGCTTACAGTTCGTCCTGGGGGTCCAGGAAGCCCCTGAAAGAAAGATGAGGGAGGTGGGTGAAGGGGAGCTGGTGTGGCCCTGGGGAAGGCAGGGCTGGCTGCAGGGGGGGACAGGCACGTGGCCCCATGGCACTCACCGGCTCCCCACGGTCACCCTTGCTGCCTGGTGCTCCAGGGCTGCCCTGCAGGAGGGAAGGATGGGGTGAGGGGAGGAGAGGATGTGGGACCCGTGGAAAGAAGAGTGGGTAAGGGACAATGGGGTGTGTGGTTTGTGGATGCCCACGGGGTGGTGGGAGCACACGAGGTGGTACTCACATTCCTGCCTTCAGGACCTGGGTCCCCCAAGTCACCCTTCTCCCCGGGGGGGCCACGGTAGCCAGGGAGGCCCTGGGTGGGGGCAGAGAGAGTGTCCACATTAGTGGAGCCACTGCAAGGCCATTGGGCACCTCATCCAACCTAGGGTGCCCACCAGCCCTGCACTTACCCGGGGGCCTCTATCTCCAGGTTTGCCAGGTGGACCTGATTCACCCTGTGGGGAGAGAAGGGGTGAGTGGGGGATAAGGGGGAGGAGGGCAGTTGTCCCAGTGGGTCCCCACTTACCGGGGTGCCTTCATCACCCTTCTCTCCACGCTCTCCCTGCAGCACAGGTCAGCGGGCACCGGCCATGGGGAGAAAAGCACAAGTCACTGGCATCCCCCTGCTCCCTGCCAGCCCCCTGCCTCCTCAGGGCCACGGAGCCCCTCAGCCCCCAGTCCCACAACTCCCCTCACCCCACGATACCTCCTTGCCACGCAGCCCTGTCTGCCCCGGGGTGCCCACTCGGCCCGGCTCGCCCTTCTCCCCCGGCTCTCCCGGGTCACCCTAGGCAAGGGGGAAGGGCACTGTCAGGAGAGTGCAGGGGCTGCTGGGGGGAGAAGGAGCTCTGCACAGCACCCTCTGCTCCCTGCAGCAGCATCACGGCACAGCCTGCAGGGACAGCCCGTCCAGCGCCGGGATGGAAGGATAGACAGACAGATGGACACAGGGGCAATGCCTCCTGCAGTGACATCACCTTTGGGCCGCTCCTTCCCGTGAGGCCAACGATACCCTGGTTGTTGGAGAGGGAAAGCGCATGTCACTGGGGACTGGGGTGGCCTCGTGCTGGTGGAGGGACTGGGGCCATGAGCCCACGTGCCCAGAGCAGAGCCCAGCCAGCCCCAGCCCCTGGGGTGCACCCGGACTCACCCGATCGCCCTGCTCGCCTTTGGGGCCAGCTGGCCCCGGGATGCTCAGTCCAGGGGCACCCTAGATATGAAGGGATGCAGCTTGGAGCAATGGCACAGGCACCTTAAGTCTCAGGGCTGTGCTGTGCCTCCTGTGTCTCCCATCCCCAGGCAGTACTCACACGGGCACCTTTATCTCCGACATCACCCTTTGGGCCAGGAGGTCCTTCTGGTCCTGGGAAGCCTCTGTCACCCTTGAGCAGATGAAATGACACCATCAGCCCCCCTAAACCACTTCCCTTCCCTCCACTACAGTTGGGGACCAACAGGCCTGGGGACCAGCACAGACATCCCCTCTGGTGGATGCCCAGCTGTGCAATCCCCCTCCCCAGACCATAGCCATGCCCAGGGGTGCCAGTGAAGGGCCAGGAGGCACATCTGGGGCAAGGTTACCTTCTCTCCAGCACCGTTCACAATGGGAGCCTGGGGGAAAAGCAGAGGGGCCATGCTGGGTGCTGCCCATGGCTCCCTGTCCCAGGGCTAGGGCAGGCAGAGGTGGATGCACTGCGCAGCATCACTTACCGGCTTCCCTGGTGCTCCTGGTTCACCCTGTGGAGAGATGGGTGTCATTTCCAGCCCTGTTCCTAGCAGCCCCTCACCTCCCCACCAGGACCCTGCTTCACCCTCACCTTTTCGCCCCGGGGGCCAGCTGGTCCTGGAGCTCCCTGTGGAGAGAGGAGACCTCAGGGGCTGGAAGTGCCTGTGGATGCACACGGGCATGGCAGTGCCCTGTTCCTGAGGTGCTGGCTCTGCAGCACCACGGCTGCTGTCCCCACTCACCTCTCTGCCCGATGGCCCCGGGCGCCCTGGAGCTCCTGCTTCACCCTGCAGGAGGGGAGGAAGAGAAAGGTGTCAGTCTCCCACCGTGCTAGGGTGGCTGCTCCAGGGCAAGGCAGTGATTGCCCCAGCAGAGCTCTGGCTGTCCCAGCCCACTCACCTTCTCGCCCTCAGGGCCAGGCACGCCGCGGTCCCCCTGCCGAGCAGAGCAGAGGGGTTCAGGAGCCTTCATTCCTCCACAGCACCCTCACCTCACATGCTGCCCCACAGCCCTTTAGAGCCTGGGCCCAAAGCCCATCCAGGAACATAGGGCTCTGACAGTGACCCCCAGGCACAGCAACCCCAGGGCAGCAGGGACACCAGGACTTGCCAGTGATGTCAAATGGCATGGTCCTGCTCTGGAGCCATCTCACCTTCTCGCCCATCTCTCCCAGCTCGCCTGGCGTCCCACGGTCTCCCTGGCACAGGAAGATGGGGTCAGGGGCAGTACGGGTCCTGGTGTGACACCCAGACCCCTTTTCTCCCCACCAAAGGTAAGGTAAGAGTATCCCTGAACCACTCACCTTCCTTCCCTGCTCCCCTGGTGGTCCTCGAGGACCCTGCAAAGGAGAATAGAGATGTTGTGTCCAGCATGGCACGGCAAGCACCCAGGTTTGCCAGAGCAGGAGCCCTCCAGGCTGCCATCAGTGCTCAGCTCAACAGCAAGGCAGACTCCTGCCCTCCTTACTGCCTTGTGGAAAACTCACCCGGTCTCCTGGGTCCCCGGGGCGGCCAGGTGGCCCTGGGAAACCTTCTTTGCTATCACCCTGGGGATTAGGAAAGGTGACAGCTGTGCTGGTGAGGTGGGGATGCCCATCAGATGGGGACAGGCATCCCTGCTGCAGAGCAGTGCGGGGTCCAGCCCCAGGCACAGCATCCCCACCATCCTCTTACCTTCTCTCCCTTCAGGCCTGGGGGCCCAGCAGGTCCCCGAGGCCCAGGGTCCCCAGGCAGGCCCTGCAAGAGAGCACAGCTCAGCCCCTGAAATTGCAGCTCAGCCCTGGGGACACATGGCCACTGCAGCCCTTCTCCCCTCTGCCATCCCCTCCGGCCCAGGGGCTGAACTCACGGGTGGGCCAGGCTCCCCTCGAGGCACTGCTCCATCCACCAGTCCAGGGGGGCCCTGCAGAGACAGGGGTCAGCTCCTGCATGATGGCCCTGAGGGGTTCAGTCCTTCCCAGCATCCTGGGCGGGCTGCAGCACCCACAGGCACCTACTGGACCCTTAACCAGGAGGATAGAGGGGACAGGGAAATGCAGAGCCACTCACCCTCTCCCCTCGGTCACCTTTTTCCCCCTGCAAGAGCAAAAAAAAAACCAAAACAGGTTAAGGGCAGGTCTGCACTCTCCACGTGTCCCTTTGAATGGAGAGAGGCTGTGCTGGATGGACCCATGTTCAGTGTTATCAGGATACATGCAGGCCATTTACCTCTTCCCACACTGACCAGTACCAGCAACAGCTCAGGAATGTGTATGTGTGCACGGGCACAGAGGGAGGAGACAACAACCCATAAGTGGGACCAGGAGCATTGAATGAGAGAGCAGCTCCAAGCTGCTGCCTGTCCCTCTGTCTGTCTGTCCACATGTTCCCCCAGCTGTCCCCATGCAACGCCAGAGGGGACGTACCTTCACAAACTCTCCTGGAGGTCCTGGTGGCCCCATGGGACCGGGGGGGCCTGCATCTCCAAAAGGTCCCCGTGGGCCAGGAGTCCCAGGGATGCCAGGGCTGCCCTGGAGGACAGAGATGCTCTGTCAGCTGGGGCTGTGGCACAGGCTGGGGGTGTTGATGGAGACCCACAGGCATCATGACCCTCAGACCTACCGGCACACCTGGCTCTCCTTTCCTGCCCGGAATTCCCTGTTCTCCATCTATGAACCTGGGCTCTCCCTGAAAGAGGAGAGGGAGGAAAAATCAGTATCCTCACATGACCTGTTGTGTCCCCATTGCAGGTTGGGGTCTACAGTGCCCCTGTGAGGCCAGGGGCATGGCAGGGAGACAGGAAGACCCTGGGATCACCCAGAGACAGAGTGCCAGAAGGTGCCAGGGGCTGTGATGTGGCCATTGGGGTCCTTGCAGCTCCCCAGGTACACCCATGAGATGGCCCCATGCCCATCACCTACCGGCTCTCCCTTCTCCCCCTTTGGGCCAGAAAGCCCTGTCTGTCCTTGTGGTCCCTGGGAACAAAAGATGAGAGTGAGGGGGGTACAGGAGGGGAATGGAACTGGGGAGGGATGGGGCCATACTCACAGGATCCCCTCGGGGTCCAGGGATGCCCTGGAAAACAACAGCTCAGGAGGTGAATGTGTCCTTGCCAGCCAGGAGAGTGGGGATGGGGTGGGATGAGATGGGAATGGGATGGAGGCTCCAGCCAAAATAAGGATGGACAGTCCCTGCCCAGTACACTTGGCCTGGGATGCACACGCTGGGGACAGCAGTGACTGCCAACTACAGAGACCACCAGGGCATAGGCAAAGAGTAGGCAGAGGCTCAGGGCAAGGCAAGGCAGGCAGGGAGATGGGAAGCAGCAAGCCCAGGGGGACACCTCCACTCACTGGCTGGCCAGGTGATCCAGGGTTCCCAGGACGGCCAGGGCTTCCCGGTGTCCCAGCAGCTCCAGGGAATCCCTGCAGGACAGGGGAGCATCACACCAGCACCCAGCACATCCTGGCACTGCTGGACTCCCCCATTGCCCCAGGTAATGCTGGTCCTGGAACTGGGCACCCAGTAGAGCCCCATGGCAGGGCCAGGTGCAGGGGAGCCTTTCCCCCACCTCAAGCTGGGGTGCAAGGGAGCAGCATAGGACTGCACTGGGGCTCCCCAAAGGCTCACCAGCCTGGGTGAGGAGGAGAAGGGATGAGGGGCAGAGAGAGGCCTCTGTGTGGCTGTGTTCCTCTGCCCAGGGACCCTGGGATGTGTAGGTGAGGGGACTGGAGGTACTCACCCTGTCCCCCTTCTTGCCAGGCCGCTCAACAATCTCTCCTGGCAGACCCTGTGGCCCCGGGGGTCCTGGAGGGCCAGGCAGCCCATGGCGACCCTAGAGGGACAGTGGATAGAAGGGACTGGGTGGAAGGTAATGGCCAAGGGATGTTCCCCATTTGCCCCTGCAGCAAGGGCTAAACATTGTCCCTGCCCCACACCCACCGGCCAGCAAGACAAGGAGACATGGGGACAAAGGGACATGGGGACAAAGGGACATGGGGACAAAGGGACCAGGTTGCTGCTCCCTGGGAGGGAGCTGCCCCCCATCTGGACATTACCGGCTCTCCACGGGGTCCCGGCTGCCCTGCATGTCCTTGTGGTCCCTGCAGAGAAAAAGCCAAAGGTGAACATCCCCTGTGGGCTGACATCAGCAGGGTCTGGCAGGGGGCAGCCCAGCACCAGAGCCACCATTTGCAAGGAACACACCAAAACACTCACCGTCTCACCACGGTCCCCTTTCTCACCCTTCAAAAGGACAGAGGCAATGGGTGAAAGGCTGCACTCCAAGCTCAGCTCCCCACTATGCTGCTGCCGTTGGCAAGCTTGGGCACAGCACAACATGCCATGGGGATGCTCACCTTGGGGCACTGCACAGTGCAGGGCTTCGGCTTTGGTTCTGGCTCCGGCTGGCAAGACAAGGTGAGGCCATGTGAGCACAGGGGTAGGAGAAACCCCTGGCGCCCTACAGGGCTGGTCCTCACTCCCCAGCACCCGGGGAACCTGAGCCCTTACCCTGGTGGAGATGATGGTGCAGAGGTCATCAGTGAGCTCTCCCTCCAGCTCAGCCAGGGCACCACCATCGTGGTAGATGTACCGTGGGTCCTCACCCGTGACCACGCGCCGGAGCTGCTCCCGGTCTGCCCCCTCCAAGCCCACTGCCAGCACCCGGACTCCTGAGACAGGAGCACCCTCAGCACCCTGCAGGGATGCAGCCCCCTCCCCACACACCCAGCTGGAATCCCATCCCTCCTCACCCCCAGCCTTGACATCCCTGGCTGCAGCAATGGCATCATCCCCGGAGGGGCTGTCGCCCAGGCCCACCAGCACCGCGGGCACGCCGGGCCGGCGCCCTGCACCAGGGCTCAGCAGGTAGGTCCTGGCGAAGGTGATGGCTGCCCCTGGGGAGGGAGAAGGAGAGGCAGGAGGGGGGCAGTCAGCAGGGCCCCACCAGCCGCGGTCCCAGCCCCCGGGCAGCCCCTCACCGATGGCGTTGCCGCTGGGCGCCTCG